TCAATTAAGTGTATAATAATGGACTAGCAATTGGTATGAAAAACGTCAGTCAGCATTTGACTCAATAATAAATTGTATTTGCTGACAAAGTCATTGTATAGACCATAGAACTTACGAAATGATGACTATAAACGAGACTGTTGATATTCTTGTTTCACCAACTTGCTTGTCAATAATTTACCTCGTTTAAGAAATTGTTCATACGTAGAGCATGCTTTTGCGTATCGAATCAACTGAGATATATATACTCCGTATGCAGGTGATAAAGGTATATATGGTTTTTGGCAATTCGCAGCTAGGATTAGGCTGCCCGTAAAATATCAAACTGTTGAAACTGTAGTAACTTCTCTGAACTATCTAGATATGACGTCATAATAGAATATGACGTCAAGTCACTGCATACCTGAGCTGACATGACTGGGAAAGTGTCATAATTTTTACATGGCATGTAGATTTATTTTGGGGACTTGTTTTCTAATTCAAGTGCTATAGTTGTTTTTGAAGCTAGAGTTGGCTGTTATGATGTTGAACATTTGAAATTTGAATATCCCTATTTCTTTCACTTGTCCGATATGCACATTTTCAAACAATAGCGAAAAATTATGTGTGAAACGCTCCCTTTACATGTCCGTAGACAGAATACGAATTTATGAACGGTGTTTATATTGGACTGGCACAAGTGATAAACAAGGACAAACTGAAGATATTCTGTGTGAATCTACAAGAAAATTATGTCCTCTAACTGAGTATTGCTGGGGGATTGTGTGTAGTTTATCCATTTTTGTATAAATCGCGATAAAGAATGGAAAATACACCTTCTTATGTTCGTAAGTTGAATTTCTCGTAAAATGTTTTCTTAACGAGTAAAAATTAAACCTGCCCCTAGCACTTTTTATGTACCAGAGATCACGATGAATTGATCTTTGTTACAAACTTTGCACAATATATTTATATTGCACTTGTACCGAAGCTATTTTTATGCAACAATAAGGAATATCATAAATCTCCGTCACGTGATCAACACAGTCATATAAAATCACATAAACGCTGTAAAATAAAACCTAATTATTCTATTATCTCAAGTTGACTGCAATTTCAAACAAGGATTACATATTAGAATTAAAATCTAGCTCAAAATAAAATATATATTTTAAGACATTTTAAGCCTTCGGACAGCCTTATCATCACTGCGTTGACAATACGTCGTCGATATATCTAAATGTCGAGTTGAAGGCCACAGCAAGTGTTTTCTTCTTTTCACGCACAAGACTCTGCATAAATTCTGCTTCATTTAAGAAATAAATAACAAGTTTATAAACTTCATTGGGAATTGAAGTGGGTCGGTCACGTGATCAAATCCTGTGAAGGCCGAAGGCCTTCTCAGAAGATTTGATCACGTACCGACCCACTTCAATTCCCATTGAAGTTTATAAACGTGTTTTTTATTACTTATATATACATTTGAGACAGACAATTTAATATTTTCGAATTTAAATTATTGCACTAACCATCCGTCGTAGATTTTGAAAAATGACGCAAGGTGTACATCGGCTTGCATGGCGGTTACGCTTCGAATATTCATTAGGCTAAGGAATCTATTTCGGGGATATTTTGTAAAAGGCTACTTGTGATCAGTAAAAGTGAACAGATTGTTGTCTGGGAATATTTTTATTTGTGAAAATTGATAATCAATGCTGAAAAGACACAAGAAACACGTCCGAAGTTTGATGATAAAAAGTTTGAGGAATTTCGGTCGTCGGAAAGGGATGGATGGATCCGATGGATTGACCACACTTGTACAAGCCAGTTAATTTGCCATTTGATCAAAAACATTCTACGGTTTCAGTAACTAAAGGCATACTTCGCGTAAAACACTAATAAACAGGTAGACAAAGGCGACAGCTTTACATTGAACTACGAAAACGCTGAGGTGTTTGGCAGCTGTTCATGGCATGATTGGAATGATATTTTCCAACAGATTTACACATTTATCGTGAGTAGAATTTAGATATAAAATAATAGTTTATCATGAAAATTTAACCTATTTAGGTCTACCCCAAAAATAAGGATGAACTTTAGAGACTGTGCAACTGACAAAAATGAAGAAAAATGTCAACAAACGCTAGTTTTTTCTATGTACACAGGTTGTATCGATAGCCAAGAAATGTATGAAATACTTGTTTACATTGTAAATAAAAAATATCATTTTACTTGCTTATTTTGTTTATTTTTTATACATGAAAAGGAAGTAGAGCAGGTCATTTCATAACTTATGTACCGGTAGATATTATTGCGCCGTGTGATTCGGCCATGCATTGACCTCTGACCTCCGACAAACTTCATACAGAATTGAAGATATTTTCTCTCTGTATGTTTATATAGTGGAAAAATACCACAAATGTATATATATTAATATAAAAATAAGTCTGCTAATAACGGAACGCGATTGGTACCCATGGGAATCCAATAGATTGTTGGAATACCTGGTCTCCAAAAAACACATAGATATTGTCAATCAGAAACTCAAGCATCTTCTTGATGTCAACTTCAGAGTACTTATGTGTGCAATCAGAATCGGTTTTAACAAAATAATTTTGCAAATGACCAATGACGAGATAAGTAAATTTCCGAGTTCCATTTTTATTGAAGAAGCAGATGTCATTGATATCAAAAAGCCTGGAGTTTAATTTGTCGTGGGGAATTGTTGCGTATAAAGTTGAAAAGTCGTTAGTTTTCAAGCTGTTGATTTTTGTAAAGTCTTGTGATTTGAAATTGTCCAAAAGTTCTTTAGAATTTTTAAGTATCCACATCTGATTCACACCACTTCTTGAATATATATAGTTGCACAGTATTCTTGAAGTTTTTCCTTCACTTCTGTCAATATCTTAGTGAGGAGTAACGAAAGAGGCTTTGTTGAACATTTACTGGAATCTGAAATGTATCTTTGTTTTTAAGGATTCTTATGAAGTTTCGGAATCCAATATATATAAGGTAGTTCAAATTCATTTTGGCTCTGTGGAATATTAAAAGTATTCAATACTGACAGCCCTAGTTCCGAGGAGCTGTCTCACCTAGTCTAAAACGCCTGTATCAGGGCTTATACACTATTAAGTATAGTATATGATATAATGAGCTCGCTAAAAATTCACTATTGCGAAGAAAAGTTCTTTACGATTAAATGGAGAAGGAGAATAAAATAAATAAAGAAGAATTCGAGAAGATTATGTATCGCTGAGAAAGAGACAGTGAATAGCCCGCGAAAATACGCTTACGGTGTCATGAATTTAAGTGATCTACGGTATTTACATGTATTTGCTTGACCATAATATCAATCTAAAGTAGAGTCAATTTTATTCAGTGGTATAAAACCTAAAACCTTCATCACCTGCATACGAAATTTATATATCTCAGTTGATTTGATACGCAAGAGCATGTTCTACGCATAGACATATTTTAGAATGAAATAAATTATTGATAAACAAGTTGATGAATCAAAAATATCAGCATTTTTGTTTAAAGTCATCATTTTTAGGTTCTAATTATAAGGTTGACACAATGCTTGCAACGTGACAACCACCTGGTACATGCGATATAACTGGTACTGTGTACGGCTAAATCTATCCATTATGGATACATCTAACTATATACATGTATACATTTTTCAGTCTTTATTTACTTTGCTATATACTAGTATATAGTTTAAAGTAATACATATTATGTAGAACCTACGTCGTATGACATCATAACTAGTGGATGTGTTTAGCTAGTGCTAGATCCATTATGACGTCATAATTAATTCAATGTCACTTTTCCCCATACTTTGTAGCTTTCTGCAAAAATAGAATACTCCACTAAATGTAAAACGTTAACAGCATTATTCATTTTTGTATGTGAGCGAACATCGTTCGATCAGATGATAAATAAAGTATATTTTATGAAAAAACACACCACATATTCAACATTTGAACATTGTATATCTTAGTTTACTTCCATAAAACTAGTTACATAGTAATAAACCAAAGATGTTCATGTTTGTCTGTCTGTGTCTGTTCAGCTTATAGGGGTAAACACTCAGTTATGTTCAAGACCGAGGTAGAAAATGTCATCTTAGTGCCGTTTTAAGGTAGAATCTATGTTGGAAAAGTCTTTGTCACAAAATTTTCAAACTTTTCAAAATGATAAATTAACACTCGCTTATCAATCAGTCAAAAACACATGACATGTTTCCTTGTTATTAAATATAGTGCAGCCTATGAAACATGGAATTGTATTTACATACTGCGACTTCAGTTATTTTTAGGGGTACTTGTCATAAAGAGAATATGAAAAATCTCAAAAATACTAAATTAAACATCGTCGTTTGTTGACTTTATTAACTGAACATACATTAAGCGGTAAATTCTATTATTGCAGAAAGCTTCTATTGCTAAATCAAGCACATCGCTAAATGCCTTGTTTACAAATATTTATGTAAAGCAAACTCGAGAACCAAAAATTCAAATCAATGCTAAATTAAATAAACACAATATCCGCCAAATACCCTACACGCCAAAAAAAAATATATATACAGTTTTCCCATTAAGTAATGATATCGATCCGTATTTGGTTTTTAACTCAACATTTCAACATACAGTATATATTAACACTATCATAAAACATCCGTAAAATGTAGTGTTATCTACATTCAATATTAATCAGTGAATTTAAAGATTAAATTTCAAAAATGATTGACCGCCACGCGATACACGATTGAATTAATAAAATATACAAGTATATATTTATGATTACATGTACTAGTATTTTCTTAACGGATGAAAAAATGTATCGGTTTAGTAAATACATGTACATTGTAAGACCTCTTTGCACATGTACTTAACATAATAAACGATACAACTGCATTATGATATGAATAATCCAATTGTATTTATATACATAAATCAGAAAAAAAAACATCTTTTGGGTTAACAAATTCAACTGATAATTCATAGATAAAAACATACCTTATATATGTCTTCCTTATCACTAGACATTACGGGCGTAAACACATGTCTGTTTATACTTCCTTGTCAGGGTCTTTGTATGAAATTTTAAATGTCATTTTTATTTGAGGCCTTTTGAAGGTTTGTTTACCGGTTCATATAAATATCGCCGATAAAGCAACCTTTGATCTTCCTTCATTCGCATTATAAGATTTTATGCTCTGGTTAAGTATTGTAAGTAGTCCAAATACTGTGAAGAAAACCCTTAGAAACTAGAGGTGTTGTGGGCAATGAGCTCACTTAATGATACCCCCGCCTTCCATATCAGTATAATGGCAAATTTGCATGTTTTGCTGTGGCCGGGAAACCTAAAATATGTGTCGGATCAAAAAGTAAAATAGAAGGTGCACAATGGCAAAATGTAATAAAGATTCCGTGAAAGTTTCATTAATTTTCACTCAGCGGTATGAGAGGAGTTGCGGAAAAGAAATGAGTACCCCAAAGCGTAACAGACGGACGGAAGTACAGACTGACGGACAGACGGACGGACGGACATACTGATTACAGTATACCCTCCCACTTTTCAAGCGGGGGTATAATAAATCCGTTAGACTTCCAGATTAAGGGTTTTTTTTAAAAAAAAAAAAACATGTATTAAACGGCAAGTTTGTAAAGTATGCGTCTACACTATTTTAGGGCTTCTTTTTTTCTCAAAATGATGATTACGTGTTGTCCCTTACTATTCTATCACAAAAATAAAATTATATTTAAAAAAAAATCATACAGCTGGTTTGTTATAAAGAAAATATTTAGGTCATTATCAACAGACATTTTCTGTCATTAAATCATTAAAGAAAATACATTTACGTATACATGAAATATGCAAAATATAAACAGTAATCGGTAATCTTTGTACATGTAGACTTGTTAATGTTGGTAAAACGTACGTCACTTGATATGACTTTTAACTATTCACAAAGACGTAAGCTTAGAGCATCTTTCTTTATTAATTAGTACTTTCTTGTAAATTGACAATTAGGGCTACATCATATTTGCGCCAATCTTTACTCTATCGATTTGAAACTTTAAAATTATTTCTCTTGAAAAGTTCAAGAAAAGCCCATTTTTAATTCCTAGACAAAAGAGTATAGCATCGAATATACTGTATCTGTCTATCAACATCCAATTGGCAAACCTCAAAATATATAATGTATTAGAAAATGTTATCGGAATCATATATCGGAATATATAATAGAGGATCCCTTGTTATACTATATACAATTTTTTTCTCACAAAATGTATCAAGATCTATTGGCCAGGCATGTAGCAACAGGAAATTAGGGGGAGCCACCTACCTTTTAAACATGCTATTGAAATGTTTATGTGAAGGTTGCCCCAACTTTTGGCTAAAGTAAAGTGATACATGTATAAGAGTAATGTAGAAATTGTATGAAGAAAATGGTCTACAAAAGAAGTTTGCATTGGAAAATGTTGGCCTCATTTATCAGACATAACTATTTTTAGAATGTAATTTTATATATCTGTATTACGCAAGTCTTCCCAAGGCGCGGATCCAGGGATATTTTCCGGGGTTTCATCCCACTCTATAAACGTAACCCCCTTTCCTAACCTGAAAAAAACTTACTTGGGGGGTGGATAACATTTAAAGCCTCATAATATGAAATCCCTCGTAGTACTTCTTATAGTCACTTTGCACGTATTTAAATTGCGTATTCGAGGAGGGGTCAGCGTTTTCTAGGGGCTCCCAAGGTCACTTAAAGTACGTTTGGGGCTCTAGATCCACGCATGTCTATATTAAAGACTATGTAATTATTTGGCAAAGGTTTGATAATTTTTTTTCTATTGTCTAGCATATAGGATACATTTGTGTGCGACATGATACCTCATAAAATGACTAATTCTCAAATAAGTAAGATAGACTTTACTTAGTCATACAGAGAAAAGCAAAAAAAAAAATACAAGCATAATTTGCCTGGTAAATACACAGGCACTTGTGGGCTGGACCCTATTTCATTTTTTTCTTTTTAAATATGGGGCGCAAACACCTTTTTTCCTATTTTTTACTATTGTACGAAGTGAGCCGAGTTCCAGTATTATATGTTCAACCAAGCCTCTTTCGTTACACCTCACTAAGATATTAACAGTAGTGAAGGATAAACTTCAAGAGTACTGTGCAGCAATATATTCAAACTATACTAAAAAATTCTAAAGAAAATTTGGAAAATTTGAAATCACAAAATTTTACTACAATCAACAGCTTAAAAACTTACCAATTTTTAACTTTTACCCATTTACAACCATTACCCACGTACAATTCTTATTGTTTATTGAACTATTCTGAAGTTGATGTTAAAAAGATGCTTGAGTTTCTATTGAGAATATTAAAAATTTATGTTGTTTTCGAAGACCGTGTTTAGCAACAATTTCGTGCAATTTTTGTGGGTAGCAATTGCACCCCGTCGCTACAGACCCAATTTTGTGTTGATATTCAGAAGAATTTGTTCAAAATCTTATTAGTGTAAAGACAAAAACACTTCGTATTGTTTTATAGATTAAGAGGTTGAATGCTATTTGCTGTCGTCTTCATATATTTCAAAATAATTAATTAATAATTACCCGATAAATATTGTTGAACATGCCATGAAGGAAATAGCTATAGGTGCAAAGTTATGAAATTCTATACAGTTAACAATCACGATGGGCTTAACTACATGTAACAGGGGTTTAGTACATGTATAATCATAGAAAACACTAGTTTATTATATTTAACTATAAAGAAAAATTGTATATTTTGAATTACTATTATACCTTTCTCCTAAAAATCATTTATTTTTTTATTTGTTTGATGTTCAAATATTCCTTTTGGTCTTGAAATTTGAAAGCTTAAAATCTTTTGAATACGACTACTTAGTGAAGAAGATCTTATAAATTATATGCGAATAATTAAACAATTAATTGTTTCAATCAATATAAAAAATATAGATAAATAATTATAACAATCTGAAATTACTTTAGGAAATCATTGAATTATTTATGTAAAAAATTTCGATACTAAAGCAGAATATGGTTAACTTTAATTAGGTATTATAAAGTATTTACAAACTATATAAAGAATATTTTTGAATGGTCATATATCATTCTCGCAATACCTTAACACCGACTGTTACTAATGAATATGCATTATATAATAACAGTGTTCATCATTTTAAAATTTAACTGTTTTGCAGAGTTTACGCGATGCAGTATTTTCGAGAACCAATCTGTACCTGAGCCCCTAATTATTATTATTGAAAAAACATAGACATACATGCTTATTTTGTATCATAAATTCTTTTTAAAAAATGGTCGTACTTATTAATAAGAAAACATGCTCTAATAACATAGGATAATTTTTTTTTGATACAACAAATACTTTCATTTTTTTTATTGACCGAACTTTTAGTCATTTTATTGATCATGAATTAGCGAAAAAAAGGAAGCTTTAGAATAGTTTGACTCACAGTACAACCATATTATCAGAAAGACATGGTTTTGCAGAAAAGAAAAAAATATTTGAAATATTTTATAAGAATACATCGTATTTTAAATGCAAAAACCAATTATACTGTCATATGGAAATGTGAGAACAAAATATTTGTCTTTGTTACTTCATGCAGAAAGCTAGACAGGGGTCCAATAGATAATTGACAATGCAAAGTGGAGAAAGACAAAGAAGTCTAATTAAGTGGAAAATAAAAGTTTACTATAAAGTATTGACCACATAAAAGTCATAAACATTAGATAGCTATATTTCCTTCTTTTCTATTTTTTCTTTTCATTCCCTTTCTTTCTTCTCTATTCTTCTTTATCAAAACTACTTTTACATAAGCTGCAATAGTTAACAAATTGTCAATGTACATTGCAACCACAAACAATTAGTGAATCTCAATATACTCAGAAACGTTCGATAATCCTGTGTAATGCTGTTCGTTTATGTCATTTACATGACCTAAGTTTAATGTGGTAAATGCTGACGTTGGACGACCGGTTGTTACAACAGTTGCTAAATTGTTGGTAAAGTTCTTTGTGTTATTGTCAGGAGAATGTGTTCTGTGAAATAAAAATGAATGAGTCAGTTATCGGATATCCAATCAGTGTAACTGAGAGTAAATTATTCTGTTTTGATGAATTTCTAGGATGTTTAAAATAATTCTAAAATTCAATTATTAACTCGGTACAAATTAACAAATAAACAAATTATATTTATATCAACACTGTACCTTTTCTTAATTCTGATGATATAGATGATTAAGAAGATGACGATGCCAGCTAATAAAACGACTAGTATACCACAGATTACCACTCCAGTCAGCAGTCCTTGATTATTAAAAGAATCTGTAAAGTTAGTTATGTAGAAGCTTTAAATTATGAGACTTCACAAGTGGACTTTTCAAAGATATAACTTGGAATTTAATTTAGAAATCAAAACTGGCAGCATTTTATTTCTTTACTTTTCAAATTAAAATCACTAAGCAACATATAACTTTTTTTTGGTTTCAGATGTAAGATTGAACTTAACTACAAGTTGTAAGAACTTTTATAGAGGAAAATATTATTCCAATAAACATCAGATCGCATATTTATCTAGTAACCAAAGGTATGGACAAGAAAGTTAACGACAAAATAATGAAGTAATAAAACTGCAAGGAAATAAAATAAATTGAAGAATCTTTTGTAATAATATCTTCATCATTTATCATGCATTTGATTCTAAAAATTTATTTGGAGAAATTTGAAAAAGATTTCTATAAAGAGCATAAGCTTAACTTCAATGCCTCAAAAGAAATTGAAACAGAAAAAAAGGAACAATATCTTATTATAGACTATATTTTCTGTTTGGTCTTCACGACTGGATTTTAGTTTTATAAAACACATTCTTTATGCAATTCTCTATCCTGGCTACTATTTGATTATCTAAAATAATTTGTTATTATTCAATCTTTTAGGGCTTTGCAATCTTATTTTTCGACGGTTATGTTTTCAGATAGGAATGAATAATAATACATCAGATGTTTCTTTGCCGATACTGAATATATACAAAATCGCTGAACTCAATATTTAGCACAATCATTGGATATATGCGTGTTCATATATTAGTGCATCAAAATCCGTGTCAAAATATATACACCGATTCTTATTAAGCTTATAGTCTGTAATTATGAAATACTACAGGCAAATTACTTCTTTATCATACCAGGATTTTTTCCAACGATTATCAATACTTTCGAGAATTCTGCTTACTTGAATTTTTACCAGATGTATTAATAATTGTTTCCTGATGATTAAATAACGTGCTTGTATCATTTATCCATGATGACTGTTCTTCGTTTTTAGAAATTGATGAAATTGTCGTTGTTGCTGTTTCTCCTGGTTTTAAAGACTGGGGTGAGGATATGATCGTTGTAAAATCTTGATCCAAATCTGTTGAATTTTAATGGAACAAAATGGTTTAGTATTTATTTTATCCGTACATGAGGAAAACGTGCATTTGCCAGCTCTACATTTTTGACATAGCATGAAATATGCCTTCTCGTAGTCTTCTATTATCCAGCCTTTATAAATGAAAAAAAAGAAAATGTAGATTTGTCATTGAAATGTAAAATGTATTTGGAACATAGAAGCATCAAATGCGTACTAACGGGAAAGATAAAAAAATAGTTCCGTACATCGTATTATACAAGGAATATAAGCAAATATAATTTGAATATTTCTTATTGTCATAACCAGTCAAGAATCCCTCCTAAAACGCAATATTTCTAAAATTGAACCGAACACGTTATTGTCAAACATATTGATTTAATGAGCTCGTCTCTGAATAATTTAGCGCAAGCGCTATCCGGACTTTGGACGATAACAACCAGTCGGGCCTATACCAGGGACAAGATTTTTTTTTAAAATGTTGTACTATAAAAACTCATTTCATGTATTTTATGATCAAAGATGTAACTTTTATATACAATCAATGATTTAATTTAGATGTAAATCAAGTGTAGACAGTCTAACAAGAACAAACAAAAATGTTACTCAATTGCGCTTTTTTGCTCATAGAATCATTATTATACATGTATTACATGTACAATAATATTGCTTCCCTTTTTTAAAAGTCTCAAGTTTAACTTTTTAAAGACTATTTAAGTTATCATTGTCTACAAAAATCTACCTACGATCTATCTATTTTCTCTCAATACTGTCTTTGTGTGGGGGGATGAGAGGGTGTGTGTGTAAGGGTCAGTCTGTGGGGGAGGGTGTGTTAGAGTGTGTAAGGAAGTGTAAGGGAGTGTTTGTGAGGGAGAGAAACAGGATAGGTAGGTGTGAGGGCGAGCACAGCACGGAAGTTATATTCCTTGTTCAAGATGTTGATTTCTTAGATCCTCAACCGGTGGCGGTAAGCTAGTGGTAGAGTGTTCCCTTTATTATCAAAAGGTTTGGGTTTGATTCTTGTTTGCTTCCCCGCGTCAAACCTAAGACGAAACATACTAGATATAGATTGTTCTTTTGTCAATTGCTCGGCATTAGAAGTGAAAGTTACAGGTCTTTCAAATATGACCTTCAAAACGTTAGTCCCGTGTCACGGTAGGCGTTGGCATGATAAAGTACCCTCACTACTCGATTGGCCATGAATGCCGAGTAAAAATAAAAATTTGAAACCTTCACCGACATACGATAACGTCTCTATATAAGTGAAAAATCCTCGAATGAGACGTTAAGCAATAAACAATCAATCAATCTTAGATGCTAATATCAAATATAGCCTATATATTAAAGAACACGGCAAAAAATAAGTTATAGTTGATAAAATGTCCATAAATGAGTACACTTGTCTACTTAATTATCTTAGATTTGATGCTATTGTGGCAATGATGAAATTGCTAATTTTGAAACACTGATAATTGAAATCTAACATTTTTGCATTTTGCAAATAAGATATTAAAATATATAGAAAAAATTCAAAATAATTTGATGAAAATTATCTTAACAAATAATTTACGAAAAAACATTACAATTCTTTAAATCGTTTAAAAGTTTCTTCTACTTAAGGTGTAAGGGTTAAAATGCACATCTTCATCCTCTCTGTAATGTTTTTGTCTTTATGAGTTTAATTTTATATAAAATATTTTTTTATTGGTACCTACCTTGATCTATCTTTGCATAGCTCTGACGTGCTATTCCAATCCAGTTTACATCAGAATTTCCATTTGGTATGCTCAAGCAAGATCCGCTTGCGTTTGTCAGGTCCAAATTTCCATACATATAAGATGATGGTTCTGACCGTTTACACCTTTCCATAGAGTGACTCCAATTTGAAGCAATATGTTGTTCATTTGATGAGTCTGCAAAGAAATGCATCATCAAGTTGAAACCGTTTGATCTGCAATCTATAGTTTATAACAGTACTGTACTATATTCAACTAAATCAAATTTTAGACACTTACAATACACCTAAGGGTGATTCCATATTTTTAACGGCCCAATTTTTCAAAGAGAGATATTTAAATGCGAACTCGTGTCTAAAGACTAAGATTTACTAAAAAGCTAGATCTATTTTACTAATATTTAATTTCTTCTCTTAAATGTATATATATAATAGTGTCAGTAGCTCGGTTGTACTTTGACGTGTCGGCCCCGCCACAGTTAAATTCCTTAGCACCACAGATAAAATATTAGCATCACAGTAAGATCGTAGTTGTCAGTACGTTGAATATTATGATTTTTTTAAACATCAAATAAACTTCTTAAACAGAAATTATATATCGTTTTCAGTTTATAATGCTAAGCTGCTAATTCACTCTAATTTGGACCCATTGTTTGGCTTGCACTATCAATTATCTTCTATACCTCACTGGACACATGAAACCGTTTCTCGCATTTCACGATTATTACAGAGGAAATTTTAAATATCAATAAGTTCATGCTTCAATTGTTCTAAAGTTAACCATGTCTCTGACGTTACACTTGCACTGCGTTTAAAAACTTGTATGTGTCTTATGTTACCTACCAGAATTTCCTCAGTCGATCTTTAATGAACACTCCTCTGCATAATATTAGTTATGTAGACACTAAGAGGGGTAATACGGAAATATGTGGGGTTCTTAAAAAAATCCATATTGGACGAGGCGTATCCGTATTTTTTCTAGGATCTCACATATTTCCGTATTACCCTTCTAAATGTCTACATAACGAATTTTTTCCAGCCGATGGTTCTCTAAAAGACTAAATATTTATAGTATCGATAAACGGCTTTCACTGAGGATCCAACTCAGTCGTTCCTCATCCATTGCTGTCGTCAGACGCATTGCGGCGTCAGTTATAAAGCTTCATGCGGGTCAAATGAAAGCATTATATTGATGATGTGTGGTTGGTAAATTTTTAATATACAGTGGGCACATCATATGGCACGCCGATTGGTTCAAAACTATTTTCTGCACAAAGATAAAGATTTTATACACGAGCTAGATGAAAAATATACACGAGTAAAATAAAAATGCACGTATAAGTAAAAATTGCACATAGTTTGAAAGATTTTAACACAAACATAACGAAAAATACACGAATCCGAAATTTTTTTTCACGATTGAGGGGTGAAATATGCACACACAAAAAACAAAAATTGCACGAGCAGAGGAAACTAAAAATTACACAAACAATTTTACTGCGCATACAGCTGCGCATGTCATTATTATGCACATAGAATATTCATTGTGTTCTTGGTTTTCTGTACTCTTTATCTCTTCATGTATGCTTAACTGGATGTAATCGAGAATGGAAAATGGCGTTGACGATGGCATGTGTTTTACTTTGCTTCTTTATTTCTTGCTAAAACTCCATCCGATTTCTAGTTATTACCGATCGAACAAATGTTTCAAGTGTTTCCATGTGATCTATATGCGAGAATACTTCAAAGTTTTTCTACAATATTATAATTTTCTTGTATTGAACAAGATCCGAACCAATATATGGAGGTATTATTTGATGCCAGAAAAAATTGTGACGAAAAGGAATTGTATAATGCGGGGTAAAAAAAAAACCCATTGCATATGATGCACTCGACTCCGAACTAAAAGTACCTAACGATAAACAGAACGGCTGACTAGGATCTTGATTTTCTAAAAAAAAAAATGTTAGAATTATTTTGTTTTGTTTTTTATTTAAATAAACTCTCGATAGCTTTTGAAAATTTCTAATTTATAGATACAACTTTAACGGAAATTACTAGTATAAATATAAAATTAACACTTGCATAATCAAACTATTAATAAAGTTGATTCTTCATGAAATTCGCAGAATTATATATATATATATATATATATATATATATATATATATTGCTTATTATTATCATTAATCTGTAGAATTAATTTTGGTACTTTTCATTTGTACCTATTTTATTTTTTTTTACCATTCCAAATAGGAAATTATATATATATTCATTTGGCTGGATACATATTTTTTTAAACTTAAGAAGTTGGGATTACCTTTGATGTAAACAGCATGTATTTAGATCTAACTTAAAACACATAAAAAATATTTTATTCTAAAAAACACCATGCATTCATACTTATAAAATATCAGGATATCAGCTTTGGTTGGAGCTCTTTAGATTTTTTTGTTATGAATTCCTTCCATGATATCACATATTTTTCAGTTATAAACTACTCAATAAAAACAAGACATTTCTTGTCAGCGTTACCCTCATTCGTAATGGCGATTACTTGATAAATGTTTTCATTTTAATAAAAAGGACCAGGTAAAGGGAGAATAAACATACTCTGTGCTTTATGTACAGTTATGCGCTTTTATGTATTCTTACTTTTAAAACATTGTGATTTACTACGTTTATCTATACATGTACGTACAATGTTACAAATAGGATGCAATAAAAAATTGAAATTGATACAACAGTGTCATAGAACGCGTTTTATTACTCTTGAAAAATACAGATAATTCATATTCTTTATTGATCTCGATGTTTCTGTTTACATTTCGAATTCGGCCTCATGAATTTTTTAAAATTATTTTCCAAACACTAAGTTCCTTGTAAGATTATTTTTTCACTCAAATATATTTCCATAATAAAAAAGAGAAGATGATTATATTATTTATGAAACGAAATGAATCGTCAAACTAGGCCTGTAGACACCCCCCTTTATTTTCAAGTATAGATTTTGCTAAAGTAACTTTTTCTTTACATGCAGGTTGACCCCAACCCCCAATTTTTAACTGTTGTTAGGTCAAGCGCATGCAAATCCGGGGATATTGATATACAGTTTGAAGTTGTATTGCAATCCTGATTTCGATCGACTGCTTCTTGTACCATTAAATTCTTAGAAAATATTTCAGGCACGAAGCATCAGGATTTTTTATTTTATCATTATTATTATTATTTTGTTTTTTTGCGAACAGAACCTTCTTCCATTGTAAAATGTTCACTGAAAATCCCCTTTTTTGTTGTTGGATTGGAATTGAAGGTCCCCCACTACCTCATCGGAGTAGGATTTGCGAGATTGTACACTTTATCTTGTTTTGCTTGTCAATTAGTAAAGAAAAGCCGTAAAGATATTAAACATTTTAAATAGAAAATTATTTATGAAAATAAAACACATAATTTGTGAATATTTTTTAAATTTGTGGTTAAAATCTTCTTAAAACCAGTCACAACTGGGGAGAACATGTTCATTGATCATATTTATAAAAGAAATTGAAATGAAATAACCAAATTTTAGAGAAATTATTTTTTTTTAATTTTTGCCAATCCCGATCAAAATTAAACCGATCCCAACCATAATTGTACAGTGATCAGTGTAAAACTGACCAGAAATCAGCAAATTTAGAACTACAGGCTTTAAGAGAAAAAAAACAGTAATCTTCAAGACTCTGTGGTGGATCTGAAGGCGCGTTCTATGCGTGATAACTTGGTGTTTTCAGGGATACCAGAGCGAGCGTGGGAGGACACTGAGCAGGTGCTTCAGGATTTTCTACAACGAAGGTACAAATTGGACTACCATATCGATTTTGAACGAGTACACAGGATGGGCAGATACGATGAATATAGCGAATACCCGAGGAGGATAGAAATCTAACAAATCCTTGGTTAAACTGTATACAGAAAATCTGTAACATGTGTGCTTATCAAATGTATGGAACCTACAAGGTGTTAGTATTAATCATGAATGGATAAGTGCTACTGTTAAGCAAATACTATAAGATCAATTTATTCAAAATTGGTTCAGTGATATAAATAATTCCTCAAAAGGACAAATTACAGAATCTTTAAACAAAACTTTGGATTCGAAAACTATCTACTATAAAATATTATAATTTTAAATTAACTCCTTTATATGCATTTTACCTATTCAGAATAATCTACAGTATAATCTACAGTATAAAAACAGAAAAGCTTAAATTCACATTAGTAAAATGACTGTATAATATTAATGCATTTTCATGGATACATGTATTTATGTAATCACCACACTTTGTTCAAAATTTAATACTACATACATGTACTGCTTTTTCACATTTATATTTATTTCAAAATAATGATATATTCGTTTCAATATTAAAATTAAAGTTGCGCAAGTACTTGCTCGATTTTTTTTTTACTGTTTAGTACTTCTTAAAATGTATTGTGCAAATTCCACAACCCAGAAGACAGCATCTCTGTGTGAATTGCTAGTGACCTTCAAGTTCAATCAAAAGGTATTATTGATGTGTCAAATAACTATAAATCGATTAGCATACAGGTGTCTTTCATTCCAGCACCACCAGGGGGGGAATCTCTCGATATGAAAAGGTCACGCATCCACATCCTTAATTATTACCATAAGTACACACAGTGGGTTGTGGAGGAGAAGAGTTTGATTTGTTAATACCTTTCCTGTATTACAACTAATGCTGTTTTTATTTACTCACCTTTACTATGATAATATCATTGTTTTGAACTTTCAAAAGAAATCGCGATATAGAGGAATGACACAATGGAAAAATCTAACAATTAAACACGCAACTGGATATATTCCTCCCCCCTTTTTACATTATCTACATGTATACATTTGTAAAATGTTTATAATCGGGGGTGTTAATTTATATGCATATTGCATGCCTGTCAGTTTTTACATGTATAAACCACGTTGTGCATATTCTTGAGAGTCTAGTGTAATTCTAAAAGACTGAATCTTTTTCAAAGGATCAATATTGTTAACAAATTACTTATCCTCTTGTTTTATAATGTTTCAAGCATCCAAGCCACACTGAGCTGTTCTCTAATGAATATTAATGAACTGTGCGCAATGAGGATGCGTCGTATATTATGTCGATGTTGTATTCTCACTCGTGCAGTTTTCGTTTTTACGTTTGTGTAATTTTCTCGCTATATCGTGTAAATATTGTGTTGATTGTGTAGTTTTTCTGTAGTTTGTGTAAGTTTCAATAACTTTGTGTATATTTTCCTCACTTTGTGTAAGTTTTGACTTGCTCGTGTAATTTTTGTTTAAGGTCGTGCAGAAAATAGTTTTGAACCAATCGGCGTGCCATAACATCAGCAATGTGAGGTGGGTAGACAGCATAACATTGTTTAATACAGTATTGCTCTCCTCCAATGAAATTTCACAATTTTTATCAGAGGCAGGATTATTTTGTGCATTTACCTTTTGAAAACAATCTTTTATTAAATTAGGGTTAAATACTCAAAAGTGTTATTACTTATATACTGAAAGGAAAAAGAAACGCATAATAAATTTTAGAATAAAATTAAAACTTTATTTCCAATGTGTTTTCCAGTATTGTTATCAAACATTTTAATTCGACATTAAACAACAAGTAACAGAAATCTTGTGTGATTTTGACTGATAATTCCTGAGTTATTGAAACTGGTATGTAGATACCCTCCAAAATTAAAATAAAAATTCTCATCATCTCCCTTGCGCATCAGTAACAGCCTTGATTTTCTTGTGCATTGAGTTCACCAGAGAATTTTTCTTTCTCAAGGATTATCATTAAAGCCTTCCGGCGGTAGTCTTAATGGTTGAGAGTAGCTGTATTATTCCAAAGCTAACAAATCCCCCCGCCCAATGAATCCCACGAATTTTCGATTAAGGATAGAATTTACAGAATCTAGCTGATTTGGTACACCTGAATGTTTGTAAGGAAGTATCGACAAATACTGGCTACATTTTCTCAGCGTGAACATGCTAAAAACAATACGCATACGGCGCATACGTGCGCGTGTGAGAGTAAAATCGACGTAAAGTTGCCAAGCTTGAGTACCAGATTAGAGCAGAGAGTTTCTGTCAGTATTAGTGTGAAAATATGAGTAGGATTGTCTGCCGTAAAAATATCGGTTTCAGTGATAATGACTTGACAATAACCGAGGTAGCATGATGAAAAGCCCTATCTTAATGTGACGTTGTTACGCGCCAACGTCACCCTCATGGTTGGTTGGAAACCTTTTAAATTACTCTCTGACAACCGAAAAAACTTTTGGTTGAAAATTTAAAAACAAACTGCACAGCAACATGTTGTTGCCTTTTTAATCACTAATGCAACTCAATTACTAGACCCAATGTAACTTCCGTCATCCATACCATGGTTGCATGAAATTTATACTGACTGCAAATATCGGAAAACATGTCTATAACTCTAATGCATCTCTTGGCACTACAAAATGTGATCACAAAATTGTCATCATCAACATGTATTTGGCTTTTTATTACTTCCCCTGCGTGACACCATACATTTCATGGTTGAGTAATTATGACCATCGATTTTAGTGCACAGTAACCAAAATACACATCTGACCAATTATCATAATTTTCTGCCACATTATTAAATATTTTTCGCTATTATGCTATTATGCATTTCTTTTTCCTTTCAGTATACTTTTTCAGGTTCTATAAGCAAATATCTATTTATTGAGTTCTTATGTGTGTTTGGGAAAGAGTTGGGGTCTTTTTTCAGAGTATACATGTATATTGTGGAAATAATTATATTTTTGATCTAAACTGTAATAAATCGATATTCTTTTTTTTATCATTATGAATTAATTCATCAAACATATTGCCAAATGATTAATTCTATTTGTATTTGAAAATTGATTCAAAGGTGCTGTGTGTTTTATGGTTTACTTCGGGATTCCTTTGAAAATTGGCCGCGAAATGACAGTAAATATTAGGACTTCGCACAATTCTTCCGCTAGAGTTAAATTTGAAATGATGGAGAACTGAAGTTGGATACCTGGTGCGGTCACAAAATCAGATATTGAAAATATATGTAACATCTACGTTCAAATAACCCGTTATAATGACGTTATATCTGATAACGACGATAAAATGGATTTGACGTCTAGCTATACATGTAAGCGGACCAGTGAGCATACCTAAAACTCTGTGTAGCCCCATTTACAAATATTTTCTCAGCTAAACGACCTGCTCAAACAATAACAACGAGAAAAAAATGTCTCAGAGATTGTTATTTCATTGCAATTGGTATGTATTTAGTCTTACCAATATTCAACCAAGGTAAAATCAAAAGCTCCAAACGATCATCAATTTTTACGTATGAAAGAACAAGGTTCACTTTTGCTTTATTTAGTCCTGTGAATTTCTGAAAAAACTGAAACTACATGCGTCAATTTTATCATATCCTAAATGAGTCTACAAACAAAGCCAATGTTTAAAGCTATTTTTCGATATTTAATATATAGCGCAACCTCTGATCTAAAATGTGTAACTACTAAATGATAGAAGTATTTCTGAGGATTAAAAGACATGTTTTACTTTTTAGATCAGAGAGTACGCTGATGTTATTTTTGTTCACTGAATGTACGCAATTATACCTGTTTACCTTAAAATTGAAGAACATTGAATATTGCAATTTCATAGAGCCAGTTTTCCAAGATCTTGACTGTAGGTGAACATCTGTTATGGGAAATGAAAGCACAAAATTAAGTCTCTATTAATTTAAATAATTCAAATGGAAAATCAAGTGTTAATCAATCAATTGGTATATCTACAGGGCCATTTAATGCATTAAGTGAACCGAGCTCTTCATTACATTGACTCGCGTTGCATAAATAGGTACCACATGGTTCTAAGCCATCTTGTCCCACATATGAAAATTTTACATTCAGGAGTAACATCATCGATTTTTTTTTAAAACTCTAAGAAAAGAGACAGTTTGAATTTTTCTAATGATATATGTGATAACAAAGAAAGAAGAGTAAAACTTTCCGATCGTTTTACATGCAAAACTATCTCCGGCTGACGTGACGTTAAAATGACGTAGAGATGCTGCTCCACGTCGATAGACATACGATGTATGCATCTTTATAATTTTACCGGAAATTATCTTATTATAATAGGAATAACTGTTTTTTCGTTCTTTATAAAATTTTGATTAATTTTCACGAATTCAGCTTTGTCCATTATAGAGTAAAAGTAAATGTCTTAACAATTTCTGATCAGCCCTCGTATCTATGTATACATGTATGTATAAGGTAATATGTATATGTGCATTTCACTTAAATTAAAGATTCTTTTAACATCAAATGAACATTTCACATACTTTGCTTTAGACAAATTTTGGTGTAGTAATGCGAGCAATCACTGCTTATGAATTTTGGATCTCGTCTTTCATGATCACATTGTAACAACATACAGCTTTTATTCGTCATAATACTGTCATCTGAAATGAAGGTCATTTAATTATGAATAAATAAAATTTGTTACATCAAATTTTTGAATTCGATACCATTCTATATAATTATTTTCTCATCATTGATGCTGAATTATTATGACCTTGGCATATGTTACCAGGCATGTAGGTAGGAGACATAAAAACCATTAGCATCACCGGCCATCAAAGAACATATACTATCTAGCATTGCATGGACACAGTGGCCATTACTTGACAAAGGTTTGATATCATATCTTGTCATAACAAACTCTCTTCGATGTAACAAGGTTCTGAACGCACTTCGATTGTGTATGAAAATCAAATTTATCCAAGGCCATAAAGACTTCATGACTCACGAATTAAAAAAAAACATTTAAAAAAAATTAAGGAAGTGGAGGCAATGCAAATCATATCTGCGTGTAAATGTAAATGCAGGAGTTACTATTGTATTTTTAATACTTTGAAACTTTAAAACCAGAGCTCAATTCATATTGTAGTCTAAAGTTCAGTAGCGCGCAGCATTGAATACCACTTCAGGAAGTCGTGTATTGACCGACGTTTTTCATTTTTATTTTTAGTTACTTATTTACACACTTTACGTCCGGGTGTGTAGGAGTGTGATTTGTTCCTTGTGCACAATCATGGCAGGGAGCACACGGTTGTTCTAACTGGTCGATATAGGGTGGGCACTCAACCATGTCATCTCTGATCCTTTAATTATACCCCCGTAAACGAAGTTTCGGGGGTATATAGTTTTTGTCGTGTCCGTCTGTCTGTCTGTCTCTCTGTCTCTCTGTTTGTCTGTTTGTCTGCAAAAACATTAACCTTGCCCATAACTTTTGATTTAGTGGAGCTATGACTTTCATATTTCATATGTGTATTCCTTGTGACAAGACCTTTCTTTGGATACCACCAAATTTGACCTTTTGACCTTGGAGTTTGACCCACTTGGCCATATCTTTTGAACGGTAGACAGCAGGACATTTATACTTCACATATGTAATGTTTGTTAAAAGACCTTTCACTGGATACCAACAACCTTGACCCTTTGACCTTGACCTTGTAGATTTCCGTACTTGTGAAAAAACTTTAACCTTGGCCGTAACTTTTGAACGGTAAAGGATAGGGCTTTCATACTTCATATATGTAATTCTTGTGAGAAGACCTTGACCTTGGAGTTCGACCTACTTTTCAAGAAATTGAACGTTGACCATAACTTCTCGCAAAAACTTTAACCTTGCTCATAACTTATGATTTAGTGGAGCTATGACTTATATATTTTATATTTTTACTCCTAGTGACAAGACCTTTCTTTGGGTACCACCAAATTTGGCCTTTTGACCTTGACCGTGGAGTTTGACCCACTTTTACATGAAAATTTCAAAATTTTACTTTGGCCATATCTTTTGAACAGTAGACACCAGGACATTTATACTTCACATATGTAATGTTTGTTAAAAGACCTTTCAATAGTTACCAGCAACCTTGACCTTTTGACTTTGAAGATTTCCGTACTTGTGAAAAAACTTTAACCTTGGCCAAAACTTTTGAACGGTAAGGGATAGGGCTTTTATACTTCATATATGTAATTCTTTTGAGAAGACCTTTCATTGGATACCAAGAACTTTGACCCTTTGACATTGACCTACTTTAAAAAAGCAAACTTTGACCATAACTTTTAAAGAGTTAGGGCTAGTGCTTTCAAACTTTACATATTTGGTCCTTATGACAAGACCTTTCATTTGATAACAATAACTTTGACCCTTTGACCTTGACCTTGGAGTTTGACCTACTTTTTAAGAAATTGAACGTTTACCATAACTTCTGAACGGTTAGGGCTAGGGCTTTCATGCTCTACATAAGTATTTTATGTAGCAAGACCTTTCATTTGATACTAATTACAATGACCTTTTGACCTTGACCTTGGAGATTTTTGTACTTATTAGAAAAACATTAGCTCACTTTCAAATTTCACAATTGTTTTTCCAGTGAGAATACCCTACTTTTGGTACCAATTAATTAAATTTGCATTTAAGAAAAGCTTAATCTTTGCTATGTTGCCATACGGGGGCATCAGTGTTTTACATAAACATCTTGTTCGTGCTTTCTCTAGTTCTGCTCCACATCAGTATTTTCAAGAACTTTTAAACTTAAATTCATGAGAACTGTTCTTTATTTCCTTATTTCATCTATCTCATGAATAAGCAACAAAGGAGAAAAAGGGAATTGCCAATAAATCATTTGGAATATTTATCATTTTCCGTACCAGAGTACCAAAAAATGTTCTTCAATTTAGAAACACTTCCGGAAATCAATAATCTTACCTTGGTCAGAAATATAAACGTTGTAAGCAGTTTCTCCCCCACATTCTCTGGAATAGATTTCGTCAATGCTTTCTCTAGTTCTGCTCCACATCAGTATTTTCAAGAACTTTTAAATTTAAATTCATGAGAACTGTTCTTTATTTCCTTATTTCATCTATCTCATGAATAAGCAACAAAGGAGAAAAAGGGAATTGCCAATAAATCATTTGGAATATTTATCATTTTCCGTACCAGAGTACCAAAAAATGTTCTTCAATTTAGAAACACTTCCGGAAATCAATAATCTTACCTTGGTCAGAAATATAAACGTTGTAAGCAGTTTCTCCCCCACATTCTCTGGAATAGATTTCGTCAATGCTATCGCAACTGTAGTTACAGTGTGAAGGTGAATATTCAAACATATAGTCAAAATTGACTAGGCCTTTTAAACAGGTGCATTTATTTAACTAACAATAAAAAACATAAAGGAAAGGGTAATTATTTTCTCGAAGCATCTTAGATATTTTAATCAACGGTTTTGTGGACACAGATTCAAAATTTAAAAAAATGAACAAACTCGGGAAAATAGTTTTATAAATATGTAACGAGCTCTATAATTGTTATGTTTGCGTTTTATCGGGTGTATTCAATTTTTTAGACTCTGAACACATTCTGTCATTACTTGTAAGTTAGTGTAAATTTCACAAATTTCAACTCTTAATTTTCTTAATTATAGTTTAACATTTTTAACATTTTTCATTATTACAAAACAATTGCAACATTTTTAGTATTTAGGATAAAGTTAACTACAGTAGAGCCTCGTTTATCCGCACGCTTTGGTGACTAGTAATTTGCCCGGTATTGTAAAGCGTCCGGATATGTGAATTACCAGTTAAACAAGATAAGAAAACGTTAAAAATGTCTGTCTGGATACTGAAGCATCCGGATATCTGGCGTCCAGATATCTGAAGGTCTACTGTATATGAAAGTGCAAGAATGTGTCAATGAAACGCTTCCAGAAATTTGACATTTCAGTGTTTTCAAGATGAAATGAGTTTGTAAATTTTATCTCCGTGTAAAATACTATAGCGACATATATCATAATATTCAAAAAATGAGAAAAAATGAACTTCAAATCTGTTTCAAAGCCCATTTAAAAAAATGAATTAAATGCAGTAATATAAATATATACTTTAACAGCAAATGTGGATGAATTTTCATTTTTACAAATTTCTTGACAAGCTCCCACGGATTTTCTTTCCATGATCTCAACAACCCTTGGATAATGATTTGTGATGTTAGAATCTGGATAACATCCTTGAAGATAGAAAATTAATAGGATTTAAAGATATAATTGTATTTTTTTCAATAGATACGTATATAAATATCATTGAAAAAAATACAGCTCATTCTAGAATAATGACTCTAATTAAACTTACCAATTATTTTTATCCATTGTGATAATCTTATGTAACGTCCGGTCCATGAATCTTTGTTACTTAATCCAGTAGTTTCTGTAGTTAATCCACGACCTTGACATATCTCCTGTGCTTCAAACCAATTAAAGGAAGCTTCTTGGCCATCGATTGTGAAAACGTCTATTACTGTATATACATGTACAAATATATAACGTAAAAGTCGTATGGTATCTTTAATTTTGGTAAGCTTAAAGCTAAACACGATTCGTAAAACAATGTTTTCTCCAACCTCTGTAAAAAGGACATGACTTGGTCACTGTTCGATGTATTCAGTCAACACGGATGTAGACGGACATATCATATGCAACATTCGGTAGCGACAAAAGAAACTGTAATACTTCTTTTAATACAGGAAAGTAAGATACCAAAGAACCTTACAATAGTTGTACAGATCCGTGCAGTATACAAATAAATGTAAAGAATAAAAGTAATGCAAGATAACCAGCGCATACACGGGTCACCATTCCAGACCGATACTCGTTACAATGAAGCAGTCAAGTAAAAACAATGGGAAGAGTATACTTCGGTTTCGATATCGTAGATAATAATATCGAAAATGGCCTAGGCCTATTTACGAATTATGTTTAGCTTCAAGGATTATCCGTATTGAGGTCAAGTAACACACCTAATATTTGATCAGAACATTACATACATGTATATCAATCATTCTAATTTAGTGCGCAAGTGAAAACCTAATAAAAATACATGTTTCAGATATCTTATAGATAGATGATATACCGATTCGTTAGGCTTGAAATAAAAACATACAACAAAGGCATGTATCATAACGACCAAGATTTACGATAAACGTGATGACGTTAACTTTTTTTCAATCGTGAACTTCCCTTACATTTGCAGCAATTAACCTCTACCACCTGCATACTTGCCAGCGTCTTTTCATCATCTTCCCTTTTCCGACATGGAGCAAACGGCAGATGTGACCTTCAGGCGGGGGATACTTATTCCTCCATGGCATCTGATCCCACCTATGATGTTTTGAAGGAATCCTTTTGCTCAGTTCCTATTTTGTAAATTTTTATGGACTTTTGATCTTGCAAGTTGTTCGTTATCTGTATTTGTTTCATTTATGGACCTTTGAGCTTGAATAATGTTCGTTATCTCCATATATTTAATCAAAGGCCACACACATTTATTCTACATGTCATCAGAATTAATTGTAAGAAGCATTTGATTCAAACACAATGTTAGATAACTGCTATGGATAGACAGAGAAGAATAGTGTGGTGGTTGGAAAAACAGTATTTAAGAAATGTCGGATGCGTTTCATACGTACATGCATGGTGTTAAAACTTATTAACACTTGAGGTAGGATTCTTCTCTGGTTTCTGACTAGATGGATTATTCAATATACATTTGTTTATATGTCTTATATATTTAGATGCAAGAGATTTAAAAGACCATATTTTTCTTCTCTCGTCACAATTATACAACTTTAAATAGAAATAGTAAACTGCGTTTGAAAACTAGCAGGGACTATATTTTTGGCAGAATGGTGGCGTATAAAAATGTCTTCTTTTCTGCCTCTCAAAATTATTATAGAACATTGAATTTAGTTAAAAAATTTTACGTAATAAAAGACTAGACGAAATTTTCAAATGTACGTTAAATTAATAAAAAGGGACTCAAGTTTCAAAATATATCAAATAAATAAGATTTTCACACATACTAGAACTATGTTGGCTTTTAAATGCTTCAAATCTAAGTACAGATTTGAGCCAAAAATCCTATAAAAGTGTTATTTCTCTCTTAGTAAACGATCAAAACTTTTAGTTTTTGTATCATTTTGTACCTTTATCTGACAACTTTACTATATGTGAAAATTAGAAAAGTTAAATATAAGAAGCAAATAAAAATAACTAAAAAATCCTTAAAATTTAAGAAAAGTAGAGGAAATTCGGATTAGCAAATATATAATATCCATTTTTATTTGAATTATCGATGTCAATTTGGTAATATCATCTTATAGGCCCTACAGTGTATATGGTAGAATCTTTTTATGCAAAAAAAATCAATCTTTTGAATTTCAAGTAGGGATCGCATGATTGGAAACAGTAATTTTTTATTCTTAATGTCCAGGAAAAAGTTAATGACCTTGACCTGACCTTGCCTCTAATATCAAACGGTCAAATTTAATCTCACTGATACCATCACTTAGTGATATTGTCCTCTTGATTCTGTGAAAATTTCATTAATTTCTAGATACAAGAAATGTAAGAAGAATCCTACCTTAAGGTTGTATTCTTGCGATTTCTGTCTTCAGTAGCTCTACTTCAACTAATACAGTTTTGTAAACTCTATCATAACTACGTTCAGGATTGTTTTAGAGGACGTTACATTTACATAACAGGCTTAATATTGATCTTCCTAGAAAATAGCAACATATAGTAAATAAATTCATCGTGCATTACTTTAGATTTAGAACAAATATATTCCTTACCCTTTATTTACCTTTTTTTACATCATAACAGGACTGTGAAATGTGTTTATTTTGAAAGAATAAAACCTATGACCACTTAAGCAATTTTGTTAATGAAGGCCATAGAAAAGTGATTATCATATACATAAATTATGATGTGGTATACCTGCAAACTATCTATTATATTTGGGTTATGATTGAAGAAGGTTACATGTAGCTCTCGAAATTTTTGTTACCTTGTTTACGAGCAAAAAAGACGGAACACCTTCATTTTGCTTACAATACCACTAATTGGTAAGGTCAATACAGGCTCGTAGCATCGTTTTTGAAAGTGGGGGGCTAACCAGAGAAAAAAATTTACTTACCTGTACAAGTTGACAAGCCAAATAAAAAAGGAAATTGCACAAATCCTATTTCGGGGTGGGGGTGGCTAACTTTTTTAAGGTCAACTTCCTTTCACGTCCAATTTTGTATGCATATAATAGGGCATTTTCTTGATATCACTATACAATGGTGAGAGGTTAGGGGGTCAACCTATCAATGGCCATTTTCAATAGTAAAGGTAATGTTGGGGAAAAAGTGGGGGCAGCCCCCCCCCCCCTGTTGCTTCGTGCCTGCAATAACCAATAAATCTGAAGCGTAGAGAGGCAGCACAAATCAATGAAACTATCATTACTACATATACATTATATTACTTTCAATAAAACATGTAACACCTCTTACATTGTAAAACATATTCAGTATATTGAACAACTTTAATATGCACATATTGTTATTTCTTCAGAATTCTGAAAAATATAGATTAAAAATATTTGTAAAAACATTCATTGCCGGTAATAGACAGCTAGAAAATATTTTCTTTTATCAGCTTTACAAAAAAAAAAAATAAATAAATAATTTTTTTTTAAAGATGCAACTTAATACTTTCTTGCTAGAAAAAAATAGAAAGCATATAAATGAAATTGCGTGATACTATGCAATATATACACAAAGAATGAATGCAATCACCTTTACCTGAAAAAATTACAACTGTAACTATAGTTTCTGTTCGAATCTTTCCAATCCAATTCATTTTCTTTCTTCTGTAAATAAAGGTTCATGGATTTATTAGGCAATAATCTGATTTACTTCAATTTCTTTTTATTTTGTATTTTCCAGTTAACATTGAGACTGCAGTAAGCCAAGCAAGATTCTGGATTTGTATAATTATAAGATAACACACATTTAAACAAGGAAAGTTTATAAAGATCAAAAGTCAATTTCCTTGATTTATGCAGCAATATAGCTTTATTGCCTGAATATAAGGCTAATATATCTTTCCTATTTGTTCGATACGCAAAATAACACTCTAGCATGAACAATTTATGAAAAGGGGTAAATTATTGAAAAGCAGCTTGCTGAAAGAGGAATATCAGCAGCCTCGTTGAAAGTCAATATTTCGTAAATTCTGTGGTCGATAAAATGAACTTACCAGCAAATACAATTTATACTTGATCATTAAGTCAATATTTGAATGCCATTTTTATTCAATTAGTTAGGCTATAATATACACACTGTATTGTCGACTGATTTTTCAGTTATTTCCAGATTGTGGCAAGGAGCGGACGGCGGGTGTCACTGAGTATTGGCTCCTTATTCCACCTCTGATGTATTTGGGGCATGTGTTTGGTCTATATCTGCCCCAGTCTCGTATTGTTTAATGGACTTGTGAATTTCAATACTGTTTGCTACCTACATATAATTTGTTTGTTTAAAAGAGATAGAATAATAAAGCTATATTACTATAATTTATGTTTTATGGCATGTTTATGGCATCGCAAGATAAATGTGTACTCAGATTAATGATGTACAATGTGTTAAAAGTGTTCTTTTATATGGTGTACATATGATATGCTTATTTCTACCTACTTAGTACATGCATATGCGTCTAAGCACATTGTCTAAAGTAGTAATTTAATGATCAGCTGACGAATAAAAGTTAACTTGTAATGCATATGTTTACTTCAAAAGTTAACTTTTATTCGTCAGCTGATCATTGAATTACTACTTCAGGCAGTGTGCTCATACGTAGGACTTCCATGTGTTTTAAATATATATGCACACTATTATTATACACTAACTAACTTAACATACTAGTTTTTCGCAGTTTATGTTATATTCTAAACAGGGCGCGTAGATATAACGATATCTAATACCACTTAACGTGTTTAAAATACCAAAGATATCGGTATATATATTCATACATTTACAGTGTCTTAAGATCAGACTATACGTTCCCCAAATATCTGTTTTGTACATCTTCATAATTTATGAAAAATATACAAAATCCTTATAATAATTACTATCTGTTTTCTCTTCTGGTTTTTGATTTTTTTTAAACTCTAAAATGTGATTTTGACAAAATAAGTATTATTTTGTCCTGAAGGATTATATTATAAATGCCATCCTCTGGTATCTAACAAAAATTCCTGGTGAGGTACCTTGATTTTTTGTGAGTGAACATGTTAAAGTAGTAATTCTTCAACGACAAAATCTTGGAAAAAATTATATATTGTTGAGGTACGTCTCGTCTGTCCTTAAAAGACATCTAAACTACATGACTATTATGGCAGATGAGCAACAAATATAACATTCAAACTAAGAGTATGTTGAAAGTGTGATACTTTAACACTTGACATGTACAATATAATTTTAAGAGTTTTTTAACTTTATCCTCACACTGCTTAATTTTTTTTAAATTTCTAAGAAGCCTGTTCATTCAACTTGTGTTAGTCACATGCAGCCATTTTGTCTGTGTTATTTAATGTAGTTTCTTCCAAATGTATCTACAATTTTATTGCACAAATTCAGATCGTAGTAAGCTGAAGATATAATAAAATTGATAATAAAAATAATAATAGACAACAAGAGCGGATCACAACAGATTTTTGAATCTTATAACCGGATGGGTCTACAGGTAAACAGGTTGTGCAATACATTATTGTCAATATCAAATCTTTCAATAACAATATATATATTATGCTATGCGCTAGACCTAATACAAGAAAAAAGAGACAAGCAAGATTTTTACCTACTTCTCTGTTTTTATCCGTGCTAGAAAATCACACTTCCTTGTTTAAACCTAACATAACTGTGAACCTTTCTTAAATAAACACAAGATGACCCCTTTAATTTGATAAAACAGGAAGAATAATAGATTAAAAACCCTTTCTGATTATTTTATCTCACATCTAACAAACATGAATTCAATACGCAAAATAGGTTAACATTGATAATGGATAACTGGCGAGAAAATATTATAAATACATCTAAAAATGGATACGATCGATTGATTTTTGTAATTATATATATTTTGTGAGATTTTTTCCCAAGAATTTTGATGATTACTTTGATATATAAAGCTTTTGTAAATAATGTTTTCGTAATAATAAATGACTTGCTGTTAAAATATAATTGTATTAGCCTTTCACAGCAAAAGAAATTTTTCAAATCTTACTACATAGCATAATGGTAATTAACCTTTGTGCATTTTATTTTTACTTTTCTGTTAAAAATTTAACAGTGATATAGATGAAATAAGCGACAAAATATTTTTTGTAATAAGTTTTTTATGCTTTGATTTGATATACAATTTCCGTTTTATAAGGAAATTATATTTTTTACTATATGATGCCATATATACGGGTGTTCGGAATGTCGCGGACTTTTAAATATGTTATCCCTTTTCTGAAGATCATATCATATTGAAATTTTATAAACGTGCTCTAACGAAAAATTCAAATGATTTGAATTTAAGAAGCATTCATATCATTCAAAATCTTATCCTACACAAATACAATGTTCATGTAGAATCATGGAGCTCTCAGAACAGTGCACTCAGTTATGTTTATAATCATTATTTATGTAAAACCTAGATCTTCATTGTAAAAATAGTTAGATTATTTCATATGCGAAATTTGGACTTAAGATTGATTCGATAAAAAGCTTTCAATCTATAAATATAGATAATCTGCATTGAAAAAGGCAAAAATGACGTATACGAATGTCATAGAGCAGAGACAATTGATACAGTTCAGTAAACTGTTCTTCATAATTATGTTGCAGTCTATAAAAGTCTTGAGTTTTCTGAAAAGTGCTGGAGAAACGAAAACTCTCTTTAAAGTGAGTTGAACATCATTTTAAGATAGTGAAACAAAATATGTGGTCTGCTAGGAAACTGATTATCAATGAAAATCGCCTTAATCTAATGTCAAGGAAAGAGAGATTTGCGCTTAAGTAGATTTTTCCAAATTTGTAAAAGCAGAGTTAAGCTGTAAAAGGAAATTGAAATACAATGCCCTAACAAACTTAAACAGCTAAAACAATTTTAGTTAACAACATTTCAAAAGGTGTTTAAGATTTTTACGCCACGATAATCTTAAGATTAGAAGGAAAAAAGTATTTTCCATGAATTGTTCGGACTGTATGGTTTACATATTTTACAGGTGTGTTTCTTGTGACAATACCTTTGTTTGGGTACCATTTAATTTGACTTTTTGACCTTGACCTCAGAGTTGATCTTCTTTATCAAAAAATGCATAATTTAAATTTGGCCATGAATGTTGGTGCTAGAGCTTTTAAGCTTCACAAGCGAGTTCATTGTTCAAGGTGTTTCAGGGAGGGTTAATATTTTAAACCTTGATCTTAAATTTTTACACACTAATTAAACACGAGTGTTAAGGCAGCAAACAGATCAGAATTTGACAAATTTACACTTTTTTGTAATATTTAGCACTGATTAATCGGAAAAGGCATTAATGAAACTTTTGCTATCATTATGCAATATATAGACTTTAATGGGACTTACAATTCAGGTAGAACTACATGTTGTCATCATGTGACGTCCATAAAGAAAAAAATATGCCTTAATAAAAAAGTTAAAAGTTCAATACTACATTGGGGATAGTTTCATGTTGTAATAATATTTATGTAAATAATCTCTGTAGTCTGTGCCATAAAAAGCGCTGCTTAAATCCTCTCATCTGTCACAGAAATAATTATTCACCAACAACCTTACCAAAATTTTTACATTTCATACATAAGATCAGGATACACGCATCAATTCCCCTTAACCATATACGATTCTAGCAGCAATTATCAAAAGCAATAGAATAAGAACATTCGACAGTAACTAAAATAGATTTCAAAGTATGCGACGTAGTATTTAACTTTTGCATAATCTTTTTTTTATTACAAACATCAGAGAAAAGGCTGATCGGGACGTAAACACACTGTCTGCTTTTATTGTACGGAGGTATTGTAAAAATATGAAAATTAGTCATACTTTGTCATGAGCTTTATTCCCTCATGAACACGTGATATTCACGCTAAATGCTTTTAAATTCTGCTCTCTTGTATTTTGCATGGATTCTCGTTACGTTTCTCGTTCACTCTGCTGATATGTTGATCAACAGTTATGACGTCACGGGTTTGGTATTTAACCCTCGTGACAAAAACATAGATATTTATACCACCCAGAAACGACAAGATTTTGTCTTTATCTAGATTCTGCCTGTTTCGATTCATTTCTAGGACGTCAAATCAATCTTGAAAATATAGATTTTATGAAATCGTTATCTCTAAAGTTACGACATATAGCTTACTATGACGTCATAATTATTGTATAGGTAAGTAAAATATTTGGTTTAGCCTTCACATACCCGCAAAAGTTTGAATATGGACATACATTTTGAACCCTAAAACCAGGGCTTTCATCTTTCACATTTGTTACCTTTGTAACAAGACCTTCCTCTCGGTCCTAATGTTACCCATACTTCGCTTTATAGGTAAGATTTATTGATTATTGGTTTTTTTTACGCCGAGTCGGAAATATTTCAGCCATATTTCGGCAGTTCGAAGGAAGAAATTAGTCAAAATTATATGTCAGTTTTAAATATTTTAAATATTCCATAAAGCCAAAATGAATTTGAACTACCTTCTCTATATTTCATTCTAAAACATCATTAAAATCAATACAAAGATACATTACGGGTTCCAGTAAATGTTCAACCAAGCCTCTTTCGTTACTCCTTACTAAGAGATTGACAGTAATGATGAAAAAACTCCAAGAGTACTATGCAACACTATATACAACAAGAAGTGGTGTATATCAGCTGTGGATACTCAAAAATTCCAAAGAACTTTTGGACATTTGAAATCACAAGATTTTACCGAAATCAACAGTTTAAAAACTTCCGACTTTCCAATTTTATACACAACCATTTCTCACGATAAATTAAAGTCCAGACTTTGTGATATCATTGACAGCTGCTTTTTCAATTAAAACAGTACTCGTAAATTTACTTACCTGGTCATTGGTCATTTGCAAAATTATATTTTGTTAAAATTCATTCTGATTGCACAATAAGTTCTCTGAAGTTGACCCAAAAAGATGCTTAAGTTTCTGATTGACAATATCTATGTGGTTTTTGCATGGAGACCAGGTCTTCCAACAATCTATTGGAATACCCATGGGTACCACTTGCCCTCCGTTTTAAACAAGCCTATTTTTATGTTCATATGAAGCAGACTTTGTGCAAAATCTATGCCTGAAAAGAGGATAACACTTGCTGTGGGCTTCAACACGACATTTAGATTTATCAACGATGTATTGTCAATTAACAATGGTAATTTCCATTCCTAAGTCGATACTATATATCCTGGTGAGCTTGAGATAAAATATACCACACAGTCTGACACATCTGTTTTATACTTGGATATTTTACTTGAAAAGACGTTAATGGTAATCTAACAACCAAGCTTTATGATTAAGGTGATGACTATAACTTTTCTTTCGTCAACTTCACTAAACTTATGCAGCAATATACTTTCATCACCTGCATACTGAGCATATATATCTCAGTTGATTCAAGTTGATTGCAAGAGCATGCACTTCGTATGAACTATTTCCAAAAAGAGGTAAATTTTTAGACAAGCATGTTGATGAAAATAGAATATCAGTAGTCTCGTCCATTGTCATCATTTCGTAAGTTCTTTGGGTGATACAATGACCTTGTCAGCAAATGCAATTTATCATTGAGTCAAATGCTGACTGACATTTCTCATACTTTTTGTTAGTCCATTATTTATACATTGAATTGACGACGGATTTTTCCCTTATTTTCCAATGATGACAATCAGCAAACGGCAGGTGTTATCGGTAAGCAGGGAATGCACATTCCTCCATGGCACCTGATGCCGCCTCTGATGTTTTGGAGGTCCGTGTTTGCTCTGTTCCTATTTTTTATTGTTTTATGGACCTTGATATTAAATACTGTTCGTTATCTCCATATCCTTCTTCGGTTCCAACAAAGCTGATGCCGGGCACAATTGATACCATAAAAAATCATAGTTAATTGTATATTATTTAACTTCCAATTCGATTTTTTTTCCGCTCATATAGAGATGTCTCCGTATGTCTGTGAAGGGCTTCAAATTAACAACTATACTCAGCTTTTAGGGCCATTGAGCAGTAGAAATTCAATAGATTGTTTGAAGACCTGTTTTTCCAAAACCACATAGATATTGTAAATCAGAAACTTTTTTATGTGAACTTTAGAGTACTTGTTTGTACATGCAATCAGAATGTTTTTTAACAAAATATTTTTGCAAATAACCAATAACAAGGTACATAAATTAACGAGTTCAATTTTTATTGAAGAATTGATCAGTTTCTGTACTAAATGGTGCCAGAAAGCATGTACTCTCAGTTATCGTCCGGAATGGTTTGTATATGTAAAGTTTTTCTTAGCTCACATGAGCTGAAAGGTCAAGAAACCCTTTCTGATCACTATTTTCCATCATCCGTCCGTTTGTTAAACTTCTTTTTTCTCACCAAGCAGCCTTGGGTAGTGAATTTGGCTAAATCGGCATGATACAAAGATACGTAAAATGGAGTTTAAATTAAAATATATTGAATATATGTAAAAATCCTATGGAGTTCAGTTAATCAAACAGGTAAGCTAATTCATTTTTTATCGATTGTATTCTCTTTGGAATACAGCTATATAACTATAAAGAAGAAAAAGAACAATTGATGTCTGAAATGGAAAAGTAAATAATATATCCTAAATTACGTTTCCG